AGCTGTAAGAGAAAATTCCAATTAGTAAAGAAATTTATTTGAAAAATTACCTTGACGCTTCGATAGCAATTTTCTGCTATTATATATTAATTGAATTTAAAAGAATTAATTAAACAATTTAATTATAGCAGAAAATAGCTATCGAAACGTCAAGGTAATATTTCAAATAAATTTCTTTACTAATTGAAATTTTCTCTTACAGCTTGAGCCTAAGAGCGTCGCAGGACCTCTAGGTGGTAGTTCTTGATTACTTTTTGATAAATAATTCGTTCTTATTGCGAAATAGGAGCACTATTTATCAATCTGTAATAAAAGACGTGAGGCAATTCTGTCTTTTTTAAAGACAAAAATTTTTGAGACGAAATACCCAACAAGAAGTTTGTAAAAAAATGAATCCGCCTCAACAATATAGAACTTATCTACAAAAATCTTATAGTTACAAAATATTAACATCGGGATCTCGATTGAAACAAACCAATTTCATTTTCTAACCGAACGGACAGCAAGCAGTTGTTTTTGTTGCCCGAAAATTTCGGATTGAGAAATTTTGATGGAGTTCAGAAGTATTAAAGAAAACATGTTTTCTGGCGTGTACAGCTGATTCCAAAATCTCTTTCCGCCTAACAACTACGAAAAATAATGCTCAAAACTGATTAATTTTTTCTACCATTGCACGGCAACAGTGTTGTAAAGTAGATGATTATTATTGTCCAGAATACCTGGTCTACACTGGTTAGATCGGGAGATTGAGCCGGCCAATGTGCCCACCACTTCAACCTACCCTGGAAATTTCAGGCAAAAATCGACAAGACATTCCAAACGCTTTGCATATGTTTATAAATTTAAAAGTGTTGTTTGATAAAATGGAGAAAGTGTTTGATTTTCAGTTTTGATCATTTGAGTGCTACGCAGTACTCAACTTTACTTTCAACGTACTTAAAACGTGCAACCCGGTTTTCTTTGCGAGAGTGAACGTTCTTAGCATTTTCCTTTTATTTTCCTAGTTTGGTGCTGAAATAATTAGCTTTTTGTTTCGTCTTTGATTGCAAACAACCATAGGTATATTTCCCTGATAGTTGTGCTGAATGTGTATTTGTTTTAGGGCGAACCTCTGACTCACTTCCCAGCTCTGAGACCGAATCTAATCCAAACTCACTATATTCATCCGCAACACATGATGTACCAACAGTTTTTGAGGCAACAGCAACATTTTCAAAGGTAAGAGCCTTTGATCATCCGGGCACTTAAGTGCACGGGTTTTTCTACGTGTATGTTTGACTAATCGGGTTGTTTCAGAACTGTCAACATGGAAAAGCCTGGTGAAGATGGGGAGGACACTTCAGTGAGTTTGGCCCTGTCTGGTCGAGGCGCTGCCGTACCACATCATTCTCCTCACAATCGAGCAACAGGTACAAAACAATGTTTTACACAGTATTCGTTAAAATGTTTGCTCGACAACAGGGTTCCATAATCATCCCTGAAGCGGTTATTCGAGTGATTACAGATCCTAACGGGTAAATTTTTTTTAAATTCAGAGTCGCCAGCAATTGGTCAAGTTTACAATCCTCTGACCACAAGGCTGCCCCCCTATCATCCGGGGACGCGCTTCTTCGAACCGCAACAACCTGCTGAGCCCCCACCTGCACACAGGCCTCTCACCTCGCACGACAGGGCTGGACTGGCTCATATACCCCAATTGGCGTCTTCTGATCGTTCCTTAGCGTCGCATGGTCCACCTCATTCCAGCGCTCATCTCATTTCCGACAGACCCACAGGAATTATTCAAGCGCGACCTCACAGCACCACACATTTGGGTGCTGGGGAGCGGTCTCAGCCCTCACCTTATGGAGCTGGTGAGTAATTCACGAACGTTTTTCGTTTGGGGACGATTTCACGTGAATCGATCCATCCAAAGCCCCATCGATCCAAGTGAAGCGCAATTTTTTGCGCTTTACTTGGATGGACAACAGAGAGTTAGAGTTATGACCGAAATATGTACCACTTCTTCTATCCGATAGGACTTT